ACAGATACAGACAGAAATTGCTTCTTTTCAACAAAAATTAGAAAGTGATGTATGTGCTGAAATTCCAAATGCTTTTTGGAATAGGAAACAACATACAGTAGAACTGCTGTATGAACCAGACTTTAATGAAAAGTCTATTCCAACAAAATCTAGGCCAATACAGATGAATAGTAGATTGCTTGAAATCTATAAAAAGATATTCAAGATTTACTTGATAAAAAGTTAATCAGGAAATCTTACTTCCTTTGGAGCTGCCCTGCTTTCTATGTAGAAAAAGTAGCTAAGGGGTCCCTAGGCTAGTAATTAATTACAAACCTCTAAATAAAACATTAAGATGGATCAGATATCTGATCCTCAATAAAAGGGATTTAGTTAACAGGCTTTACAAAACTACTGTCTTTTCAAAATTTGATATGAAATCGGGGTATTGGCATATCCAGATAACTGAAAATGATCGTTATAAAACGACATTTACAGTACTCTTTGGACACTATGTATGAAATGTCATGCCATTTGGATTAAAAAATGCCATTTCTGAATTTCAAAACATTATGAACGAAATCTTCAATCCTTATAGTACTTTTACTATTGGATTTTCGAAATCAATTAACTAGCATTGGAAACATTTACACTTATTTCATAAAGTCATTTTAAATGTTGGGTTGGTAGTTTTAGCTAAAAAGATTAAGTTCTTTCAAACTAATATTAGATTTTTTGGACATAATATCCACCAAGGTACGACTGTTCCAATTGATCATGCCCTACAATTTGCAAATAATTTCCCGAAGTTATTTTTGACAAATCTCAGCTTCAAAGATTTCTTGGCAGCCTTAATCATACCTCAAACTTTTAAAAGAATCTGGCAATAGACTGTCAACCACTATTCCAACGACTCCGCAAGAATCCACCAGATTGGGGAGAGGAGCATACACAGGCAGTAAGGAAGATTAAACTCAAGACCAAACAATTGCCTTGCCTTGTTTTTGCTCATCCAAAAGCCTTAAAAATAATAGAGACAAATGCTTCTGAATTACGATATGAATGAATCTTAAAGCAAAGATTTCACCCTAATGAAAGGGAAAAATTGGTAAGGTTTACTTCTGGCATATGGAATCCAGCTCAAAGGAATTATTCAATAATTAAAAAATAAATTTTGTCAATTGTTAAATGTGTTACAAAATTTGAAAGTGACATATTAAATCAAGAATTTCTTATAAGGGTAGATTGTAAATCTCCTAAGGATATTCTTGAAAAATATGTCAAACATATGCCTCTAAACAAACATTTGCAAGATGACAAGTCATTCTATCTGCAATCGATTTTAAAATTGAATATATAAAAGGGGAAACCAATTCCCTTCCTGAATTTTGACTCGTGAGTTTTTACAAGGACACTAGAAGAAGAACAGCTAATCACACCCCAAGCAACAGCAGGAATACTCCTTCTCCTAAGACAGAGGAGCAATATAATAAGGAAAATAGCCCTGAAATAAAAAAGAGAACTCTTTATATTGAAAAGGCAGTTCTCCCTATCCTAGTAATAGCAGCCAATCATGCTCTAAAAGAGTCATATGATATTGCAAAATATTATCTAAAAGATAATTTGCATCCCAAATTAGGGTTAAAAACCCGAAATTATTATGAAAAAATACTGACTGAAACTGAGTTAGGAAAAATTGTACATAACTACAGAAATAGTAAAATTATTGGTTACTCAAAATTCCAAATCTTGAAGATAATATCCTATGAGGATTGGGGCTTTGACCCTCTGAAGAGTAAATACTTAGTAGGACCCTTAAATATGAGGGCCTACAACTATTATGACTATATAAAAGAATGAGATATAGTCCTGTTATTCCAAAATGAAATGAAAATCCATAGCTGGTTCCTGCAATTCCGAATGGTCACTAAAACTAGTAAATTCCCTCAATGGTTCAAAAGATGGATGATATATTGGGGTCCATCCCCTGATATTTATCCCCCAACTCCTAGAGAGTCTTTTGAAATATTTCACTCATTTAATAAAGGTATAAAATTAATAGACAATTTCATCAGCTTTGTGGCCTTATATGAGGTCCCTTGGATCTTAAGATGGAAATATTTAGTATCTCAAAATGTTCATGAATGGGATTATATCCCTTATCTTCAAAGAAAAATAATGATAAAATGGTGGGACTCATTCAAGAAGTCTTATGTATCACCAAAAAATATTGCTATTATGAGCCTAAAATCAGCCCAAATTAATGAAATAAGTCCCAATAAAATTACAAACTATTTTAAATTTCTTACAAAGTAAAATCCGGAATTATCAAAAGTAGAGCTAAAAAGGCAGCTCTTAATAGCTCTAAATGATGAAGAAGAGCAAGATAATATGTCAACTACCTCTTCAAAAGAAAATGAAGACTATACACAGAAAAATGAGGATATTGTTACGTCATCCTGACCCCTACTAAAGGGTAGGAAAATCAATATTGGGCCGGCCCAACTCTAACCTGATCCAGGACACGAGGCCCATCGAATTGACGAAAGCACTTATGTCATCAGTTCAATGCTTGCCAGACAAATAACATTTTAGCCACAAGAAGAGAATCTCCACTGTAGCAACTTTACCTGTAGCCACTTACCTCTTGTTGGCCACCTGTCTATTGCCGGCATCTTTATGTCTCATCTCCCATATGAAGCCACGTGAGACCCAGGCGGAAGCATCTTTCCAGACCTCAAATTAAAATTTGAGGTCCACCATCCCCATATAAAAAGGGGTGAAAGCCTCATTCGGGGGCAGAGGTTTTAGAAGCTTAGGATTGGTTTGAGTGTGTTCTCTTGAGAGTGCTCTCCTTTGTTTGTAAGATAAGAGTGGATTGTGAGTGTTAAAGTTTCCTCTGAGTGCTTGTCAGATACATGTGTGATTGTTATTGGAATAACGTGCCTGAATATTATCTAGAGGAGTGGAAACTAATTGCAAGTTTTTGTCAGTGTGTAATGTAAGTGCAATTTTCCTTTATTATTAACATATTATTTTGTACAGTATTTTGTGTATTATTAT